TCGTGGGTAATGTAGTCTTTTATCGGTCTTGTGATATTGTCTATTCTCCACTGTCACTGTCGCTGCGTCGGATCAGTTTCAGTAAGTACTGGAACGCAGAAAAAAGTGGCGGAACCCAAAAGACGAGAATACAGAAGTTCCGGAACTGTGTTCCGGCCCACTTCAAGCACTGTCTATTACATTATAGTTATTCCACGATTGTAGTATTCAATTCTCCTATTCTATTTTAGACTTGTTGCGCCAGCTCTAGGATAATCCTCTGTACACTATAATGACGACAAAGTTGAATTGAATTAAAGAGGGTCATTAGGACATCCAATAACGGACTGTGATTTGAATGTCAGTAAAACAAGTAATTAAAAATTCGTTTTCCCAGAACGCACTCGGCTTTGAGGCAGCGTGTAGCTGCAAAGCGTGATGGGAAGGAGAAAGCCCTGGAAGCCATTTTAAATCATAGACTAGTGCAAGTGGGTCCGATGTAGTTAATCGAAATACAGTTAAGCAACGGTAACATTTGTAGTACTATTTTTCTTGTCTTCTATATGATTATATTTCGTCCTAAAATATTAACATAAAAAGTAACTGTTCATATTGGTAAGTTATTGCTTTCTTTTTGCATTGTTGTCTTTAAAATCTGGGGTTTTTTTGGTGCATGCGCTCTGTAGTCACCCTGAAATGGCTTCTGCAATTGATTGCAAAGTATTTCTTTTATTAGCTGGACTATGCGTTCTTAGAAGTCTTAAAGGCTAGTCGGCTAGCATTGTTACGCATACAGGACTAAATTCAGTCCAGGTTCTTAAATTGGGCAGAAGTTGCGTTTAACACCCACTTCTTACTGCTACTTCTTTACTTTATCCGCTGATATGTGTGCACATTCATCCACCCCCTGTAACTGCGTATCCAGCACCGGGGGGCGGTGAGTCTAAAGGATCTTCTAGCAAGCAAATGGCATTATAAGGCACGGGACACCCTTGATGCTATGAGGTGTACGTTTATAATTGATTTGAATTTCATATGGCGGGTTAATCTGTTCCTTTCAGGCACGTTGTGCTGGTATGTTGTTGACAGACTATGTGAGTAACGATATGAATCTGGGTGACACCCCAGTGTTGCCTGTTACACGCACTGAACTGTTTAGGACGGTGGTGGCCAAACTTATCTACAAAGGGCCGTTGTGCATGTGGGAACTGATTGGCCGAAGAGTCCTCACACCTGGGTTTGAGCAGCTAGCTTAAAGGTTATCCCAAAAGCCTACATCCACACTGGCCCTTTGTGGATAAGATTGCCCACCCCTACTTTAGAAGTTGTGTTGATGTGACCTGGATCCTGTGTAGTTGGCCAATAGGTTCATCTTAACAGTGTGTCTCTTCTTCCCTCCAGTTTCCTCATACCTGCCACTTGGACTCGGTTGAATCCGAATATGGGAGGAGATAAACGGTGAGGCTGCCATTTAGTCTCTTAACTCCAGCTGATATTCATATACGCAGTTTGGACTGTGCATGCCTATGGAAATGCCTCTCTCTAGATGTCTCTGTAGATGTCTATTGTGTGGCAGCTGACGGTGTTCTCTTGTCGCATGTGTAGCATCAGTCGCACTGAGCGCAGCGGGAGGTATGGATCCAGCCAGGGCCGGGACGATACAGAATGGCGCGATCGGCGCGACAGAGACTCTGAGCGGGACTATGAGCGCCGCTGGAGCGATGACAGGCGGGGTGATCGTTACGATGACCGCTGGAGCCGAGAGAGCCCCGAGGTGAGGTGGCACGAGGGGTCTCTGGTTGCAGGGTACGGTACGTTTGTGTGTTACTGACCAGCTTCTCCATCACAACTGTCCCCATAGAGAGAGCGTAAGTGGTACAACAGCAGTCGCTCCGAAGATGGCTATCATTCCGATGGGGATGACCAGGACTACCAGGGCGAGCTGGGAGAGGAGAAGGAGAGCAAGACCATCATGCTGCGGGGCCTGCCGCTCCATGTCACCGAGGAGGATGTAAGCTGTCTCCTGGCAAAAATTTAATATACTTGATACATCCTGCTTGTTTCCAGTTATGCATGAGTTTCAGCCTGCTGTACAGGGTTTGTCCCGATGCACTTCTCGCTGATTTGGTCAGTTCCTTATGGTCCAAGTGACTGCAGGTACTCTACCATTTTGAGGAGAACAAGCATCCATCTGTAGGGAACAGTCTGTGTGATTGCAAACTGGTGCTGTGCAGATGCACTGAGTGGTAATAGGACGTGCTGTGCAGTGAGTATCTCTCAGAAGGCTGATAGAAATGAGACATTGCAGTAAGAAAAGGAGTATGTGCTGTCTGGGCTGTGGGACTGTGGGTTTTGAGAGCACCTCAAGGGTGTGATCACACTTAGTCCTAAAAACACTGGAAGAAAAGCAGTATCTCACAGCACAATGGAGTAATTGACTAATGTTCTTATTTTTGGCTTATTTGGGGTCATTTTGGGCATGATGAGTCACACATGACCCTCATAGATTTATCAAGTATTCAATGCAGTGATTTTCATTTATTCACACATAAGAATATAGTACCATATTTTACTAAATATCCTGTATTTTTGTGTGTTGCATCCAGTTGTTCCTGGATACTCTCATCAGCCCAGTTTTCCAACAAACACTGCACCTCCTGTAGACCAAAGTGTTCCCTTTGTCACAGTGTTTGTTAAATATTTGTCACCACCTGATTTGTACAACCTACCCAATCCATTCCTTCCAAATCCTGATCATGTATACTGTCCTTGTGTGCATGCGTGTGGCAGCTGCATCATTGTTGTCATGTCTGTGTGCCGTGCTGGTAGAGACCAAACTATGCAACCGTATCCTGGCCTAACTCTTCGATCCAGTCTGGGGACAGTCTGGGGGTACGGAGCAATCGCACTAGTCAAACAAAGTAGATTTTAGGGGTCAAATGTGCTTGGGCACAGTATGGATGGCCTAATGTGGGTATACCCTAACTGACAGGCATGTGGAAGCCTGGCTGTGTCACACCTCCTGAATCGACATGTTGCTTGTCTGCCAATTAGATCAAGGCTGCCCTGGACCAGTTGCAAGGACCTCATCCTTCAGATGTGCGGCTGATGAAAAAGAGAACAGGTGAGACTGGGGTCCACAAGTGACCTCCTTTGTCAGTTGTCCCCTCACAGACCACTTTGCCACCTTTCAGATCACTGTGCTGTAGGGATAAGATGGTCAGACTCGTCCTCAGCCAGGTTGAGGACGTCCTTATTGAGTAATTGGAAGTTAAGATGCTGTGGGTCCACTTTTCAAGATGAAGTGGTGCAGGTGCACGGTAATGAATGATTTTAGTTTAGGCTTTATGGGTGTCTGCTTATGGAAAAAGATATATATTTTTAATAGTTGATTTCCAAACCTCTCCTCACTCCAAAGACCGTCCACCATTTCACTGTGTGGGTTTCTTGAGTTGTGAAGCTGTTTATGACAGAGTTTGACTTTTGTTCCTAGAACTCTGACTAACGCAGCTCCCGTCTATATCTGAATGCTGTCTCTAGGTATAAGCCGAGGGTTTGCCTTCATGGAGTTTTATCACTTGCAAGATGCTACCCGATGGATGGAGACCAATCAGGTTGCTTCACAATCGCCAAGTCTAGATTTTGTCTTAGAGATTTGAACAAGAGTTTTGATGAGAAGACTTTAAGAAACTTATTTGGTTGGAGGGTCCTTTGTAGAAACCTTGTAATTGTTTTGTGTGAACACCAATCACAGGCAGTGTCTGAGACACCTGACATGTCAAATTACCTTTTTTATGTTATTCACTTTATTCAGTGTTGAGGTTTTGAGTGGAACTAGGAAATAATGGTGGACCAACTTTTTTAACTTGTACCTTTTTTAACTTGTACAGATGTTAATGAACAGTGGACCCTCTGAAGCTCAGAATTCAAAATGTCAGCTTATTGAGCTTAAGGAAACACAGATTTTTAAATAGTCACCTTGCTTGGCTACTGTCTTCCCTTTGTTTTGTTTTTTTCTTCTGGAAATTAAAATGTGAGCTTTAGGTTGAGCTGCAGGTTAAAAGTTTGAAATAACAAAACAAGCACCGCCCCCCCCCCCCCCCCCCCCCC